CTCCAGCTCCGCCATCAAACCCAAGTGGCTGCAATTCCAGGCTGCGTGGGATAGTCATATTTAGGTCTCTTGCTAAGATGATGGGCCAAGCCCGGAGCGGGATGAAACCGCTCGCTGTCCTCCCTGGACACCGGTGTGTGTGTTGCCCCCCGAGCACCGCCTGCACCTCGTGCTGGCATCGCTTCTATTCCTGAGGAGTTTTGTGTGGGATGTTCATGAAATGCTACAAATCCCTGCCTGGAAAACACCTGAAGCCCCTGCTGTGCAGCAAGGTGCTCCTTCGGGCCTGGTGCTCCCCTGGCAAGGCCCGCAGGCCCTGCCGCCCCGTGACGGGAGATGGGCCTTGGAACGGAGGACAAACTGCTTTTCCCTAGATGGGGTTAAGGAAGAGGAAAACTACCAGAAAATTGCAGAGGGAAATCACACGGTGAAGCTGGGAGAACCACCTCTGCAACATCAGTCTGAATAAGGTGCATTTTGAACCACATTCCTCAGGCTGAAGGAACGTTCGTCACAACACTTGAGACTGAAATGAGAGTCTGCCCAGGAGTTTCTCCTCTGTGGGTTAACAGAAAAAGCCAAACGTCGATGATGTCGTGCACAGAAAATGGCAATATGTATCTGTAACTTTATTATGGGGGTGTAAGGAGATAGCCAGGTCCACAAAGGGTACTGCTCTTCTGAGGCAAACTCCTTCAGTCATTCGGTAAGACCAGGAAGGAAACGTCAGGGAGAGCTGTCTGGGGTATCTTAAAAGTTCCGCTCCACTTGCAGCCGTATTGTGCAATACCAGAAAAAAGAGATACAAAATTAATTAGAATAAAAGCAGATTTCATGGCTACAATCATTACAAACTATATAGGAGGAATTTTCCTATAAACACAAGTCTTGGTGAGACAGAATGTCTTGGTGGATGGACTTGGGTTTTCAAATAAAAAAAAATTTGATTGCTATTTTCAATAGCTTACTTCATGGCTGGCCAGGTCATGAAATTCTTTTCTATGTGACCAGTTTCCCCATGTGCCTGAGATACTGCTGGCAAAGCATCTTTGTGTTATAGTTAAGATACTAAATGAAGTGCTAATTGTTATTATTCTTTGACGTCATTACTGTGGAATATACAGCCAACTCCTTATTTTCTGTATAAAAAGCAGTTTGGGACTGTGCAAATAAGAGATAAAAAGAGGATAGAGAATACACTGGAGGAAGAACCATGGAAGGAGGACAGAGGTAATCAGCTCTATTAAGTCAGTGCACAGATTTGTTTCCTATCACTCCAGTTTCTGAATGGATTAGAAGGCTGAATGCAGTTTTGGATCCAAATGGACCCCATGCATCCAAATGCATCAAAGCAAATCAACTTTCTGAAAACACTGCGTCCACCCAGTGCCTAGGGTTTCTGACACCTGCTCCAGTTGTCTTTTGGACATGAATATTAGTTCAAAAGTTGTCACAGATACCAAACTATAATATGCAGTCCTCTTTTCCTTTCCAAAATAGTGTGGAGTAGCAACAGTTGACAGCTCTTCATGGTGGCCATGAAAGGGATGATCTTTTGAGGAGGGAAGGCATTAATGCTAAATCATTTCTTCTTTGTCCTCAATTGACTACAGGCCAGTCAGTCTCACCTCTGTGCCCAGCAAGATCATGGAGCAGATCCTCCTGAAGGCTCTGCTAAGGCACATGGAAAATGTGGAGGTGGTTGGTGGCAACCAACAAGGCTTCACCAAGGACAAATCATGCCTGACAAATTTGGTGGCCTTTCATGATGAGGTCACAACGTGGCTGGACAGGGGAAGAGCAGCTGATGTCATCACTTGGACTTGTGCAAGGCCTTCTATGCTCTCCCACATGACATCCTGATCTGAAAATGAGAAAGATACTGATTTGATGGAAGGACCACTCAGTGGATAAGGAGTTGGCTGGATGGTCGCACTGGAGAGTAGTGATCAACAGCTCAATGTCCAGATGGAGACCAGTGATGGTCAGTGGTGTTCCCCAAGGGTCAGTCCCCAGTGACTTGGACGGTGGGATCAAGTGCACGCTCAGCAAGTCTGCTGATGACACCAGAGTGTGTGGTGAGTTCAACACGCTGAAAGGAAGGAAGGCCATCCAGAGGCACCCTGACAGGCTTGAGATGTGGGCCTATGCCAACCTCAGGAAGTTCAACAAGGCTAAGTGCAAGGTCCTGCACATGGATTCAGGCAATCCCAAGCACAAATACAGGCTGGGGGGAGAATGGGTTGAGAACAGCCCTGAGGAGAAGGACCTGGGGGTGCTGGTTGATGAAAAGCTCAGCGTGAGCTGGCAATGTGTAGTTGCAGTCCAGAAAGCCACCTGTGTCCTGGGCTGCAACAAAAGAAGCATGACCAGGTCAAGGGAGGTGGTTCTCCCCTTATACTGCACACTTGTGAGACCCCACCTGGAGTGCTGTGTCCAGTTCTGGGGCCTTAATACAGGAAGGACATAGAGCTCTAGGAGCGAGTCCAGAGAAAGGTCACAAAGATGATCAGAGGGCTGGAGCACCTCTGCTATGGAGACAGGCTGAGATAATTGGGGTTGTTCAGCCTAGAGAAGAGAAGGCTCCAGGAAGACCTTATAGTGGCCTTCCAGTACCTGAAGGGAGCCTACAGGAAAGCTGGGGAGGGGCTTTTTACCAGGGTATGTAGTGATAGGACATGGGGTAATGGTTTTGAGCTGAAGGAGGGTATATTTACATTAGACGTTAGGGAGAAATTCTTTAGTGTGAGGTTGGTGAGACACTGGCACAGGTTGCCCATGGAAGCTGTGGATGACCTTTCCCTGGAGGCGTTCAAGGCCAGGTTGGATGGGGCTCTCAGCAGCTGGGAGGTGTCCCTGCCAATGCAGGGGACTTGGAACGAGATTAACTTAAGGTCTTGCAAATCAAACCATTCTATGATTCTACAAAATAAAATTCACCTCTACTCTAGTGTGAGACAATTTAGGCAGTGAATCCACAGTGTCTTTTCCACAAAGAGTGCCAGCTGTGATACTTAGGACTGAACTGTCTGTGGTGTGGACTGGAGCCGACTAGGAATGGGACTGTGACAATCAAGTGATTTTGCATATGCCACAAAATGTCTTTAGATAATAATAATCTGGATCAAATTAGAACCAAAAAATCTACTGGAAAAAGATCACATGGGACATCAGCAGTCCCCTGAGCCAGCTGCATTTCTAAATAGTTTAATTTAGTATAAAATCTACCTCTCTATCACAATAGAAAAAAAATGGAACAATGCTGTGTGCCACATATGAAAATGCATACATTTGTGCTCGCCTCTGTTTTCTGTGCCAGAAATTAACTAACCAAATACTCTCTTACCACAGCTCTGTCTACATCAATCAATAGTACTGTGGAACAAACAAAAATATTGTGGCACAAAAAGTTACTTAACAGAATTGGAATGGCAGCTGTACAAAAAATGAGGGTGAATCAATGATTCCTAAGTGGAAAAAGTCAAAATTAGTAGGGGAAAGAAAAATATTTTTATACTTCCTATTATAAACAAAGGAGAAAAAAAACCCAGAAGTTCAAATCAGAATAAATGGAGCAGACAGTGATTTCACAAGCCTTTGTTGATTGTATTGCATGCTTCTGAAATAGGAAAATCTGAAAAGAAAAAGAAAAAAAAGCAATTTCTCAAGTTTTGTTCAACTTGCAGAGAGACAGGTTTTGGTATTTTTGTGCACATCAAATAGTGATACAATTACATGAATGGTCCTGTGTTTGGTACCATCATAAGTTCTGTTGTTAAAACAAGAGACTCAGCTATTTTCCAGGTGCCTAACTTGAAGTCAAGACATCAACACTCATGTGACACTTTTTCCCCTCCCTCTTTTTTTGTGGCATATAGTTTTGTATTAATTGTTCTCACTCTGAAGTCCTCAAGG